GATACAAATTATGAACAACAAATACACATCTACCAACAAGTGAATCTAAAAATCAAGTGAATAAATAATCTGATGAACAGAATTAACTGGTGATTATAATAGAATCAGGGGCATAGAAAGGGAGTGGACTGGCTATTCTTGCGGGGGAAAGGGTGAGGGGGATGCGGGAAGAGTCTGGCCAAAAATCATACACCTATGGATGAGGACAGTGGCTGGGGGGGGGAGGGAGGGAGGAAGGATGGGGAGGGGGTGGGAACCAGGTGGAAGGGAGCTATGGGGGGAAAAAGGAACAACTGTAATAATCTGAACAATAAAGATTTATATTTTTTAAAAAGACGTCAAATTGCAAGTTATAAAAACAGTCCCAGGGATGTACAGTACAGCATAGGAAATATAGTCAATAATAATATTGTAATAACTGTGTATGGTGTCAAGTAGGCACTACACTTATCGGGCTGATTGATCACTATATATTATACAAATGTCTAATCACTGTGTTGTACATCTGAAACTAATATAACATTGTATGTCAACCGTAATTGAAAAAAAAATTGTTAAATCCATGTTCTTTCATAGCTTACCTTCTAGTGGGGACAGATAAAAAAATTTTAAGGTACAAATAATATATTAGAAGATAAGTACTATAGAAAAATAAAGTATGCTAAGAGAGGGGATGGCAATGAAGAGAAGAAATAAAATTTTTATAAGTTTAGCCTTTTGAATAGAAATCATTACAAATACAGTTGAAGTTTCTGTTTTACAAAAAAAAAAGAGGTCTGGTTTTGCTTAAGTTCCTTTTACTGGGCATACCCTCTCTACCATGCCTATTTTTTAAAATATACTTTTTATTGATTTTTTACAGAGAGGAAGAGAGAGGGATAGAGAGTTAGAAACATCGAGGAAAGAGAAACATCCATCAGCTGCCTCTTGCACACCCCCTACTGGCCCGCAACCAAAGCACATGCCCTTGATAGGAATCGAACCTGGGACCTTTCAGCCCGCAGGCCGATGCTCTATCCACTGAGCCAAACCGGTTAGGGCAGCCACGCCTATTTTTATTACTGTTCTGCTAAAGCCAGGGACACATTTCATTTTAAAATAAGTAAGTAACAAGTAGTCAAATGAAAAATAACTTCTGCATGATTAAATATCTAAAGAAATTATTAAATAGTCATTAAATACATTATTAAATAATGATAACCGTGCTGCACAGATACGGAAACCGAGAGGGTAGTGTTTGAATGTGTAAGTGGGGGAATTGTTCAAACAGGGAAGATTTTCTCTCCCGCGGCGGATCCTGTTTGTGTGGACGGTAAGAGGAAGCAGAACCACTCACCCAACAGGACAGCGCTGGGCCTAGACGAACGCTCCTATTGGGCCCGCGGAGGACTTCCCTTGAACCTGGGCGCTTGCTCCGCCGGCAGCTGTCCTCCCCGCTCACCTACAAGCCCTGCCCTGTGGAGACAGCGGAAGATGAACACTGCAAAGGGAGCCGGGATATCACATCCCGCCCCCTAATGCCCACAGAACTTCACTTACTTGGCGCTCACGGTTTAGGTCCGCCTGCCCCAGGCTTCTTGGGCGCAAACACCTCCCACGCAGAACTGCTTGGCCGTAAGGCAATATTGCCGTAAAGGAGGTCAATAACGACAAATGAAGGAGAGAGATTACCAAGGGCATAATGAAACCTGAAAAAGTGAATAGCAAAGTTAGACTTTATTGCAAAATACAAAGTATGCGGATACGTTTTGAAAGGTCTGTAGCCTCAAGGTAATAGCACTTGAAGAGCTGATCTTTGTACCTCAGCTCGCATCTTCCTTCTGTGGGAAATGTGGTCCACTCTGCCCTCAGCGGGCCCTCGCTTCTCTTCTCTCAATAGGATGTGTTTCAAAATAACAAGCCACCAACTCCTGGGGAAAATCCTCATCATCTGGAAGAAATGCTATTTTAAGACCACCAGCACCATGTCTACTGGTAACTGTGTAGGCCATTATGAGGGCTAGCTAAGATTTATATGTAATATAAAAATGGAGTCACTGTGAGAAATTCGTCCAAACTAAAAAAACCTGACCAAACAAACAAAAAAACCAAACTGTCAACCAGTTAGTTTCTTTTTTACGGAGATTGACTCATCAATGGAGAAATGAACCCCTACACACACACACACACACACACACACCCCTAAAATAAATAAATGAATAAACCCAAACTGTCAATTGGTTTACAGTATCTTTTACGGCACAGTTTCCTTACTGCCAATTAGTGATGCTGCAAAAATGCTGTAGCAAAGATGATTGTGGGGAAAATCGCAGACAGTGATGCTGATGTGGAAGTGGGTGCAAGCTGTGTGATTGACTTTCAGGCTCTGGTGGGAGGTAGGGCCCACCAACTGCACAGAGCAGGAGTGCTGAGGGTGAGCTGTAACCCTTTTCTCCACAAGTGAGATACCTTTAAGTCAGTTTTGTCAGAATAAGGCCCTAGCATCAAGGCCTTTTTCATGCAGGAAAAAGTTCTCTTACACTTTCATATTAATTATGTAAGAATGAGTAACAAATGATTATAGTTAATATTTACTGAACATTTACTATGTACTACCCATGCTAATGCTCTATATGCATCAACTTATTTAATTGTCACGATAACCTGTCAGGTTCTATGATTAGCACCATTTCACAGGTGAAACACCTAGGTTCAGGGACGTTAATTAACAAGCCCCACGCCAATATCTATAGCAGTGGTTCTCAACCTTGGCTTCACATTAGAATCACCTGGGAATCTTTTTAAACTCAGGATTTCTGGACCTCATCCTCCGGAAATTCTGTTTCTTTGTTATGGAGTGGGGCCACAACATTAGTAACAAAGAAACAGAACTTCCGGAGGATGAGGCCCAGAAATCAGGATTTTAAAAAAGATTCCCAGGTGATTCTAATGTGCAGCCAAGGTTGAGAACCACTGATCTACAGTAAATCAAGCCCAGGCTATCTGGCTCTGAAACTTATATTAATCCCATTTGAACCTACAAATAACCCTATGGGGGTTATAAACAACCCTAAAATAATCTTTTCCTGGCAGAGTGGTATAGTAAAACCTCAATATAACGTACTAATTCGGGCAAGGGGGTGTTTATTAAAGCTGTAAGTCCATTATATAATAAAGTAGGCTTTCCAAATTCGTATGCTAAAAATTTGACAACTTAGTTCATTTACCTTTATGTAGGCATGTTTGTGTAATCAAAATTAAGTATGTATGAAAAGCTTAATTCACATAAAAGTTTTCTATATATATTACTATAATTTTTAATTTATTTTGAAGAGATCTAATAAACGTGTACATTCACCAGTCACCATGAGTAAACAAATGCACACAGCTGGGGCGTGGAAACATTGGCCAGCACCTGTTAAGACTGCTGCAGAAAGTCACACCACGTGACAACAATTGCCCCGAGATGCAGTGTGATCACATGCTAATCACTCCCCAAACATTGTTTACGAGAGGTGACTCTTGGATTTAAATACTTAGACTATAGTTGTAGCTATGTCATATTTATTTATGTTGGTGAAATTACTACAATGTTTTGTCCAACATATGACCTATTCACTAAAATTTGTTTAAAAGAACAGTGAATTAATAACAAAAAAATAACCTGTTAATTTAATCGTAAGCAAATCTTGGCTAAAAGCATTTAAAAATTAACAGGGTGTTAATTTTCACACATAACATACAGAGCGAAAAATTTGTCTGTTAAATCCAAAGTCTGTTTAATCAAGTTCCGAAAAATCAAGGGTTTACTGCAATGGTTAAACACGAGCAGATGTTAGTGTTAGAAGAGCCAGAGTTTTAATTCTGGCTCTGCCTCTTATTAGCTGTGTGAATTGGGGAAATTTATCCAACTCCTTTAGGACTTAGAACGTCCTCCATTCATCTTTTAATCTTCAGAGTACTTTTAAAGTCTCAGGCCTCCCTGTATTTGTCATTGTCATTGTCATCATCGTCATCACAGATAATATGTATTAAGTGTTTTCTCACCTTACTTTCCCCCATATTTGTAACTGCCATGCTATTCCTTTAATTTCTTGGATTAAGACATGAATACAATGTACTACTACTAGTAGTAATCTTTATTGTACACATACTACATGCCAAGTGCTTTTAGTGCATTATCTCATTTGATCCTTACAACTACTGCATGAGATAAATACCAGTGTCATCTATAATTTATAGCCAGAGACAACTCACCTAGAGCTCAATACTGCTGACCTCACTCCTTGGGACCTCCAAAGAGCATTCATGAAAATGGCATGGAATTTACCGCAGGAAATGAACTGAAAAGGTTTGGAACTATCCACCAATTTGTGCTACTGAGAACACTGATTGCTTAAGGAATTTGTTTCCTCTGTTCCATCTTCCTCTTCCACAGGGTAGTGCCAATGAACGCTGGGACTTCTTCACAGGGGGAGCTGGAAAAACAGTAATTCCAAGGAACTCTCCTGAAAAGAACAAGGGAGAACAGTGCCAAGGAATCAGATTCTTGTTTTATTGCAAAGTCCAGCCACTCCTTTTGCTTTATAACAACCTTGAGTGGCATTGAGTAAAAGATGCTACAAAGGACAAACATATCTGGAGTGATAATAATTTCCTATTACACGACATAATTTTCTCCATATTTTTTTCTGATCGCAAACTTAATACATTTCACTGGAAAAACCATATAAAAATGCACAAATAGTTGAGCTGTTTTGTATGTTAGAGTCTAGATTTCGATTCAATTTAAATTATTTTCTTCCCGTGCCTATGCACCCTTGCCCCACTTTTAAAGAGCCAGAGCCCAAGAGCATCCCAGAGGGCAGCAGCACACATTCACTCCCCTCCTGCTCCTCCAGCGTTTCGCCCATCTCCCCTCCCCCTTAGTCCGATCGCTTACCATTGGTTATTACCATGACAACCAGCAGCTGCCGGGACGGGCAGCCTCTACCGCAGCAGGGGAGGGGCTGTGGGGGAGGGGGCCGAAGAGGAGGAGCCAGAGGAGGTATCTGCTGCAAGTTCCTGGCTGCTTCTGAGCTCACCCCATCCTCCGAGAGGGAGGAGGCCCGAGTGGTGATGCTGGTGCTGCCGCCGCCTGGACTGCTGGTACTCTAGTGGGGCTGGAAGGGTGGTTCCTTTTTGCACCATCGCCAGCCAGAGACTGAGGGTGAAAAAAAGAAATCCCAGCAGTCGCTGCTGATGTTGGGTTCGGAGGCTGCATCCGACTCGGTCACAAGGAAAATGGATTCAGTTTGCACCTCTCCCTCCTTTCAACAGCTTCTCCAGGTCTCCGCACGGTGAGTAAGACACAGTGGAGCTATCTTCTTGGTTTAGTTTGTTCCCAAATGCCCTGTGTAGACATCTGTGGCCTGCACTGGAACAATGACTCCCTTAGAGTGGGAGAAGATGTAGAGACAGAGATGGGGATGGAGATAGAGGACGGTTGCCAGGAGGAGAGAAGTAAGAAGGCGTCCGCTCCCGTTTAAAAAAAAAAAAAAATGGTGTTCTGATTTTATCTTAACTGGCTTAGAATGCAGAGTGAGCCGCTTGGTTCCTTTCCTTCCAAGCTTAGCGACAGAACCAGGAGGTGGAAAAAGCTAACAAGAAATGGGTGTTATTGAAAGGAATCATTTCATTTGCAGCTCCCACATTCAGGGCTAGGCCTTCCTCCAAAACACATTCGGTGCCTCATAAGCTTCTCTGTCTAATGATAAGGTGATTTTGCTTCTCTCCCTCATTGCTTGGGGAAGGTGGCCCCAGAATTGAGCGTCCTATTCCGTATTCTTATGTGCTCTTGTTGAGAAACCATTTGCTGGGTACAGTTTCATTTTTAGCGAATACATTTCATTGTGACTACACGAATGCATACTCTATGGATATGCATAACATATATACACATTACTTAGCACTTAGAGTGCATTTATGAAACATATTTATGTGTAAAGCGTTCTTTGCAATCGTTCTTATGGGTTATCAATGCCCTTGCATGCTTGGAGGTAATTGGATATTTTTGAAAGTATGCTTCTGGTTTGTGAAATTAGTCATTGACTTCATCTGGATTAATGTGAGGTTTATTCTTGTTATTGCCCATCAGTTTTGTTGTGACCAATTAGGACAGATGCCTGTCATTTAATAGGTATCGTCGCCCTAGATGTGAATTCATAGCCGGCCTCTTTTCTTTATTTTTAATTAGGTTTGTGGGGGGTGATTTGAGAACCCGGACCTGACAATGATGGGAAAGGGAGGTGGCTTGTGGTATTATTTTGTGTACAGTGTCTTGCCAAATGATTGTGGAAACAAATCAGTTTTCTTGGAATTCTACCCCTTCCCTTTCATGTTTGTGCCTTGTGTCCCAGAAAGCCCAGGCAAGCTGGATGGTGAAATGGATTCATTTTATTTAATAGTGATGCTATTTGCTGTTCATTCCTTCAGTATCCAGGCACCATTTTAGAGTTCTCTCAAATGTTGTATTCTGGATTCACTTACTTAGGTGGTCAAGTAGGAAAGTGAGATTGGTTTGAAAAAATCTAGGTATTTCCTAAGTACCCTAGCCATTTCCAAATGAGTCTGCTTATACAGTGAAATGGAATAAGAGAGAGCAAAGCTTAGCAAAAGAACGTGTGGCTTGTAGCCTAAAAGGGGGGTGGGGGCGGGTATTGTAGTTTACAAATGCTTACTGGGATCTGCTTGACCTTTGATTATGCCAAGGCTTTAGGACAGCTCAGGAGACTAAAGATGTCTAAGATGAGTAGGGTACAGGCCTCCATTACCACCCAGGATAATGGATTTCATTGAATTAAAGCCAGAAAAATCCTTGCAGGTAAAAGTGTGTTAGTAGTATTACATTCATCACATGGACTAGTTTCAGCCATCGATCTCATCTCTAACAATATCATTGGCAGTGCAAGCATTTTCTACAGTGTAAAATAGCAGTATTTTTTGTTTTAATCTTTCATTTTATTTTAATCTTCCCTTCACTTAAAAATTGTATATGTATTTGAATCAGGTTTATAGTTTAATTTCTCTGAGAATAAATGTCCTATTTGGCTTATATACAGGAAGACTCTTCAGCAACTTAATGGAGAGAATGCACTTAATATGCTTATGGCATGTCATATATTATATAGATGCACGATTCTGTAAAGTCTTGCTACCATGTACCTAATTATAACAGCTACATAAAGTCAAGCAAGGAAGTATCCCTTGGGCTTGTATATCATATCAAAATTTTAACACACTGCATCCTGAATTTTTTAATGACAACTTTTGACCTCCAAAAATTACAATTTCAGATATATCTACAGTAATCTTTAAAGAATCAAGACATAGTTGACTCTGTTTTATGAAATGAAAACAGGTATCTTGGGGCTTTGTTTTCTTTCCTTTGTGTTGACTTTCCATGGGGCTATGGTTTTATAGGTGATGTTGGTACAATTTGAGCAGAGGCAGATCACTGTAGGCCACAGATATAGAACTAACAGTCGTATGTTTCAGCTACGTGGTCAGACCCTGATATGAATACAGGTCTAGATTTTGGTGTCACAACTTGAGGTGATTACATAGCCTTTGAGGAGGAGCCACAAAAAAGTGAATTACGTATAAAGGACTACAAGTTGAACTCTTTAAGAAAGGATAAGGAAACTAGGATTATTACATTTAGAGAAACCTGAGAGATGACAGTTATTTGCTTCAGAGAAGCTGAGGGCTTACATGTAGGAAATTGCTTCTTGCCTATTTTGGGGGACCTAAAGAGTGGAAAATGGGATTCACCTGCATTGGGAAGAATGGAGATTATAAATACAAAATGTAGAACTTTCTGATAGCAAATTTGAATGGTCCACTGGGTAACCAGATAGGGCAGTGCATTCTTTTCTCATCAAAACCTCCATAAATATGACCTACACATGAATTTATTTGGGATGAACTAGATTCTTTCTCAAAAACTTCTCTGACTTTCTAGTCAACTGTCCATTGAAGAGTGTTTCATATCATGTACTTCTAGACCTGTAACAGTTAGACTCCATTTTGTAAGGGGCTTTTAAATTACAAAATCTGGATATTTTTTACAAAATCAATTGATCATCTGCACAGAGAAATTTATATGTCATCTTGTCAGGATGCAGGGAACTGAAAAATGGCCATTTCATGAGAGAGTCCTTTCCCAGTAACGCTATGGAGTGTGACGCCTAATAGCCATATTAAAGTCATCCCTTCTGTATGGCTAAATTTGAAAAATGAAATGGGGTTCATTGGGGTCTAGATACAAAATAATTCAAGAGCCATCAGATTGGTGTCAGAACAAAACAAAATATATATAAAAGGTACATTCAAACCCTGGCTGGTGTGGCTCAGTTGGTTGGGCTTCATCCTGTGCACCACAAGGTTGCCTTTTGGATTGCCGGTCAGGGCACACGCTTGGGTTGCCAGCTCTATCCCTGATGGAGGGAATACAGGAGGCAGCCAGTCGATGTTAAGCTCTCACATTGCTGTTTCTCTCTCTTTCTTAAAAAAAAAAAAAAAAGGCACATTTAAATTATTGTGTAAATGAACTGCTTAACAGCTAATTATCTTTTGCTCAAACACTATCTTGAAAATGCCATTCTGGTTGAGATAGTAAATATTTTGACTGGTACTTAAACTTAGGTAAAACTTGTTTTAATTGGAATAAAACACATTATCTGATTTCTCACTTTCTGATAGGATGTTCCTTATTTCTTTAAGTGATCTCAAAACATATTTCAGTTTTATGTACATGCTTCAATTCTCAACCAGAAGAACTAGGAGAGTCAGAACCATTTTCTTCATTTCTTATAGGTTTATCAAAAGATTAATGCTTGTTTCCCATGGTTGGAGCCTAAAAGAAAACCAAATTTATCATGGAAGTTTTAACATAATATTTATACTTGGGTGTTATTCTGAGAGGTCAGTTACAACTGAAAATGTGTTTTCAAAGGAGATGAATTAATTAATTGCAAAACAACTTATATGAGTAGCAACATTTGCATATGTTAGCACATAGAACTTTTTGGAGGGTTTAAGATGTACACATGTGAAAAGTTAATGACAAGAATAACGCATCTTATATTAGTCATTACGCCTTGTATTAATACTAAAGGCCCAGCGCACGAAATCGTGCGTGGGTAGGGTACCTAGGCCTAGCCTGCAAACAGGGCCATCTTCTGCCCGTTCACCAGTCCCCAGCCCCACCCCGCCGCCAACACCCACCCTGGTTCCCTGTTTGCCATCTGGTGATCTATTGGAGCCTGCAGGCTGTGGGGAGGGAACAAGAGGTCCGTCGTTCCGCCCACTTGCCAGTCCCCAGTCCCGCCCCACCACCGGCACCCACTGCAGTTTCCCGTGGTTCCCCAATGGCCATCCAGCTATCAGAGTCTGTGGGATGGGGGAAGGGACCGAGAGATGGTCAATGCACCTCATAGCGACTGGTCGATCGGTCGTTCTGGTTGTTACGCTGTTATGGTCGCTGGCCTTTTATTATATAGGATAATCTTTTGTAGTTCTCATTAATTTTACATTGTTTATTTTTAGCTTGTATTCCCCCCAATTCTATCACTATAAGTATTTTAAATAAGTGGAAACAGTCTCAGAGAGGTTAGACTTGTTCAAGTTTGGGTTAGGTAAATGGTCTGACTGCAGCTGGATTCCAAATCTCATGATCCCAATTGTGCCATATTAGAAAATGTAACAAATTACCTTGCCAATTTGAATTTTTAAATATCAAATATTGTAGATCTGCATTAAATGTGGCTCATCTCTATTTGGATTTTTATTTGAATATTTCAGGTGCCATGATTTGCTCTTTGATCATGTTGAATTGGTTCAACAGACTAAGTGTATGGTTAAGGTATCAGACCAAAAAAAAAAAAAAATGGTGCACACAAGAATTATTTTGGAAAACCTTTGAGATTCCTGGTATTTCAGAAAAGCACAAAAGCATTTGTCTAGGGAAAAGTCAGAACTATGTTGGACTGCCCTGCACTTATTTTATGACCAAGTACTATTTTTATTTCTAATGAGAGTTTGGAAGGTAACATCATTTTATTCTGTGCTTTGGACCTTGAAAACACTTAGCCATACCTCCTACCTATATATCCTAAGCATCTCTCCACCTACATGTTCTTAAAAATAGGGCATTAAATAATAAACAAGTGTACATAGCTTCAACAACTTCCTGATATTTTTCCCGAACAAACACTTTTATACTTTTCTGAAATATCAAAAGTCAAGTAAGTACCTTTCTCCAGAATATTCTAATTTTTGGTGCCCCCCCTTTCCTTGC